AGTAAATAAGTACAATACATTTGTAGGATACAAAGTTTCTATACAAAAATCAGGAATTTCTATACCCTAATAAACTATTTGAAAAATATCAAAAAAATTCCATTTAAAATAACACAAAAATAAAATTCATAGGTATAAATTTAATCAAGAAAGTGAAAATCTATATGCTTAAAACAATCAAACACCTTTGAAAGAAATTAGAGAAGACACAAATAAATGGAAAGATATATCATGTTCATGAATTGGAAAAATTAATAGTTAAAATGTCCATACTATGCAAAGCAATCTATAGATTCATTGTAACCCCTACCAAAATTCCAGTGACATTCTTCACAGAAATAGGAAGAAACAATCTGAAGTTCCTATGGGACCACAAAAAAAGTACAAGACAATCTTAAGCAAGAGGAACAAAGCTGAAGGCATCACACTACCTGATTTCAAAAAATACTGCAAAGCTATAGTAATTAAAACAGTATGGCCTTGCTATAAAGACAGATATATAGACCAATGGAGGAGAATAATGCCCAGAAATAAATCCACTCATTTATAGTGCATTGATCTTCAACAAAGTTGCCAAGGATACACAATGGAGAAGACAGTCTCTTCATAAATGATGTTAAGAAATTGGATAGCCATATGCAAAGTAATTAAAATAGACCCTTATCTCACACCATATATACAAACAAACTTAAAATGAATTAAAAACTTAAACATAAGACCTGAAACTCTAAAACTTCCAGATGAAAAATGTTATTTGACATTGGTCTGGACAATAATTTTTTCAATATGGTCTCAAAAACATAGACAACAAAAACAAAAATAGACAAATGTGATTGTATTAAACTATAAATCATGCACAGCAAAGTAAAACAATCCACAGAGTGAAGAGACTACTTATGAAATGAGAGCAAATGTTTGCCAACCATACATCTGATTCTGTCTTAATAACAAAAATATACCAAACAAACAACTCAATAGCAAGAAAAAGATAATTCAACTAAAACTGGGCAAAGGGTCTGATTAGACATTCCTCAAGACATAAAAATGGCCAACAGGTATGTGAACAAATGTTCATCACTAATCATCAGAGAAATGCAAATCAAAATCACAATGAAGAATCACCTCACACCTGTTAAATTGACTATAATGACAAAGACAAAAGATAACAAGTTATGTTGAGGATGTGAAAAAAGGGAACCCCAATACACTGTAAATGAGAATGTAAATTAGTACAGCCATTATGTAAAACAGGATGAAGTTTCCTCAAAAAATTACATAAAGAACTATCATATAATCCAGCAATCCTACTTCTTGGGATATATCCAAAGGAAATGAATTCAATATCTTGAAGAGATATCTGCACTCCTATGTTCATCACAGCATTATTCACAATTGACAAGATATGGAATCAACCTAACTTTCCATCCACAGTTAATTTGATAAAGAAAAATGCTGTGAACACTCTCTCTCTCTCTCTCTCTCTCACACACACACACACACACACAGAGAGAGAGAGAGAGAGAGAGAGAGAGAGAGAGAGAATTACTTGGCCTTTAAAAAGATGGAAACCTTGTAATTTGTGATAGCATGGGTAAACCAAGATAATATTTTGCTATGTGAAATAAGCCATGCACAGAAAGAAAAATACTATCTAATCTCACATATTTGGAATCTAAAACAGTCAAACTCATAGAAGCAGAGAGTAGAATGGTGGTTGCTAAGGACTGGGGTAGGGGGTGGGAATGGGGAACTTTTGGTCAAAGAGTACAGAATTTTAGTTAGGTATTGTAAGTTCTGGAGGTCTGATGAAGAGCATAGCTCCTATAGCTCATAATACTATACTTTATACTTCAAATTTGCTAAGATAGAAATTAACTGTTCTCACCACACACATAAAACCATAGTAACTATGTGAGGTTATTCATGTATATATGTTACTTAGCTTGATTGTGGTAATCATTTCATAATGTATATTTTATGGTACATATCCATACATGTAAATGGCATGTTCAATAAAATAAAGATTACCTTTTTTAAAATTAGTGCTGGTGCAATTGGACATACACAGGCAAAAAAAAAAACCTCAATCTAAATCTCAAACTTAAAAAAAGAATCAACTCAAATCAGATTGTGGACTGAAATGTAAAATGTAAACCTATAAATTTTAGGTTTGAAAACACAGAGAATACCTTCAGGGTCTCAGGTTAGGCAAAGATTTGACACCAAAAGAATTACCTGTGAGAAAAATAATTTTCTAAATCAAACTTTATCAAAATTAAAATCTTTTCTTAGTGAAAGATTCTGTCAAGATAAAGACCATGTCAAGAGGTTGAAAAGACAAGCTACAGAGTGGGAGAAAATATTTGTAGACCACATACCTGAAAAAGCACTAGTATCTAAAATATATAAGGAGCTTTCAAACTCAACAGCATTAATCAAACAATCCATTTTTTAAATGGGCAAAGATAAAAACACATATTTCACTGAAGAGGATATAGACAGCAAAAAAGCACATGAAAAGGTTTTCAACATTATTAATCATTAGGGGAATGCAAAATAAAATCACAGTAAGATATGACTCTACACCTATCAAAATGGTAAAATAAAAAATAATGATAACACCAAATATTAGCAAAGATGCACAGAAACTGAATCATTCCCATGTCACTGGAAGAAATTTTTAAAATAATGGCACAATCACTCTGGAAAGCAATTTGATAGTTTCTTGTAATACTCATCATGTAATTACCATATGACCCAGAAACTGCACTTTTGGGTATTTATCACATGTAACTGAACACTTATGTTCAATGTAAAAACCTACAAACAAATATTTATGCAGCTTTATTCATAATTGCCAAGAACTGGAAACAACCCAGATGTTTTCAATGGATGAATGATTAAATAAACTGTAGTATAAGGTATATTACCCATTAATAATGTGAGCTATCAGTACACATGAAAACCTGGATCTATCAGTACACATGAAAACCTGGATGAATCTCTAAGGAATTATGCTGACTGAAAAAGCAAAAGCCAAAAGGTATGATTCAATTTACATGACATGTTTAAAATGAAAACATTTTAGAAATGGAGAAAAATTAATGGCTGCCAGAGGTGGGACAGAGTGACAGAGTAAGAAATGTGAAGGAGATGAGGATGGTTATAAAAGGACAACACAAGGGATACTTGTGGTGATGGAACTGTTTGGTATCATTACTGTAGTGGTGGATACAGAAAGTTACACATGATAAAATAGTATAGACCCAAAAGTGCATACACACACACACACACACACACACACACACACACACACACACACACACGGAGATGAGTACAAGTACAGGAGAAATCTGAATAAAATTGGTCAGTTGGCCGGGCTCGGTGGCTCAGCCTGTAATCCCGCGCCTTTGGGAGGCTGAGGTGAGTGGATTGCCTGAGCCCGCGGGTTCGAGACCCGCCTGGGCAGCGAGACCTCATCTCTACAATAAATCAAAAAATCAGCCGGGCGTGGTAGCGCATGCCTGTAATTCCGGCTACTTGGAAGGCTGAGGCGGAAGGATCGCCAGAGCCCAGCAAAAAAAAAAAAAAAAAAAAAAAAAAAATTGGTCAGTTGTATCAATGTCAATACCCTGGTTGTGATATGATACTAGAGTTTTCGCAAAATGTTACAATTGAGAAAACTGGGTAAAGGATCTTCAGAGACTGCGTTATGTTTTATAACTGCACATGAATCTATAATTATCTCAATAGCAATATCAATTTAATAAAGGTATTATATAATATCATAATGAAACTTGAATCCTAGTCAAGGAGTTTGAATGCTTTTCAACAGGCAGTTGGGAGTCATAGAAGCTGGTTGAGTATGGATGATTTGATTCGAGCTGTAGATTAAAGGAATCAATGTAAGGATAGTGAATATTATAGAATAAAGGAGAAGTTATTAAAGGGAGGAACTCAGAAAACCACAATCAGAGCTCAAATGAGAGGCAATCCTGAAGCAAATATTGTACCCAACAAAGTGACCTATGGCCACTTCAGCAATCGCACATCCAAAACACGTTCACTTTGTGCAAGTTCTTCTATAGTTTATACTGTATTTGAAAATCTGATCACATAACAAAGACATTTGCAAGAGTCATTTTGCTACATTGAAGTCATTCTTTCATGCTGCAATTTTAACATTTTGTAAAAATAAAAACAAATTTTTAGTCTGATTTAAATAATTTTATAAATGTAAGTGAAATAAGTTTTCTAATGTGATAATCGGCATGGTTTTAAAAATCATTTTAAGGTGTTTGAAGACTGGAAAGATATATTAGACTTCTAGTTTTAATTAATTTTAACTAAATATTTATAAAAGTTTGACTAAATAAGTTTGTAATCAATATTTAAATGTCTGAGGAAATGTAATTTGTTAATTTTAATGTCTTTATTAGTTTTGTAAGCAGCATTTAAATTTTCAGAGAAATATTATTTAATGAATTTATGCATTTATGCAATTGTGCATAAGATAAAATACAACAGGAATGAAACTATTTTCCATGCACTAAAGATTCCAGGACAGTCGTGCTCAGTGGCTCAGCCTATAATCCCGCACTTTGGGAGGCCGAGGTGAGTGGATTGCCTGAGCCCACGGGTTCGAGACCCACCTGGGCAACTTGGCAAGACCTCATCTCTACAATAAATCAAAAAATCAGCCGAGCGTGGTAGCGCGTACCTGTAATGTAATTCTGGCTACTCGGAAACCTGAGGTGGAAGGATAGCCGGAGCCCAGCAGGTTGAGGCTGCGGTGGCCGAGAGCGGTCACTGCACTCCAGTCTGGGCGACAGAGTGAGATTCCAACTCAAAAAAAAAAAAACAAAAAAAGATTCCAGGAGATCATCAAATTGCAGATCTGAATTCTCTCTGTAATCCCAGGCTGTCCTCTACAGGTTTATATTCTCTTTAGATCCTCTGAGAGGTGATGGTCCCAGAGCGAGAAGAAATAATAGGCTCACCTTATGGGGTTATCCATCCTGGACACTGTAAGGAAGGCAGCAAGATTGGCTGTGTAGGAGGAGCACACAATGAGCGTGAAGAGCCACCAGCTGCCCATCACGATGCGCATGGCCACAGAGTTCACAGAAGATTCGCCACCTGTAGGAGGCAGGGAAAGCGAATTGGTCCAGGGCTTCCACTCTCACTCCCATCACCACAGAGATGCTCTATCTAGAAGCCAGGTGGCATATAGGCTGCCACCAGTGATGGGTGGAGCCCAGGAAAGAGCCCAGGAAAGGGAGTGACTGCTCTCTGGGTCTAGGGGATTGTACCAATTCTGGAAAGGGATCCTAAATCTACCACTCTTGGGAAAAAACAGATGACCACAAAACATGGAAAAATTAGGGCTGGGCTTCTAATGATGTGAAGTTTTTCAAAACATCAAGGGTAGAATCCAGAAAATCAAAATATTTCAGTTAGAAGATTTTACCTCATAGTGGTAAGAACTAAGGCTGCAACCTTAAGTTATTTTCCAATTTCAAATTCACATACAATATACTCAGGAATTCTGTAAATATAAAATTACCTCTTACCCAGAGGGTTTCCTAGTTTTCTTTTAAACTTAAGAAATGATATATACCATATCACTTTTATTAATATTCAGCCCTCAATAGATGAGTTTTTCCCTCCATAAAATTCAGAAATCATTGCATGTGACTTTAGTTAGAAGCTTAGCCTCTTTGAGAACAATTATTTCTCTTTGGTCCCTAAGGTGTTAGTAGAAGAAAACTGCTCACTGTCTGTTCTCCTTAGATAACCTCATAAAACATTGCCATGATGGAAACAGTGTCAAAACTCACATTAGGAACCTTGCAATTTGTTGTTTCCAGTCCAAATTGCATAATTCTATAAGTCACAACTGGTTAGAAGTGCTATCCACATCTCTCAAAGATAGGAGAGTTTGTATCTCAAGAATGGGTGGAGTACTGCTTAGATAATTGCAACACAATTGTGATTTTTTTTTCCCCATTAAGTCTTCACGTTTATGCAAGATTCAGAGTAGTTTTATTTGACACCCTCATGCACATAGCAATCACTCTAATGTGGGAGGGGAGAAAAGTGCAAAGCAGAACTCTAAAGTTAATCTTATCTAAAGTGGAGAATCAGGATTTGAAGTTGAGTTCCTTATTGTCATTTAATTTCTATCTGATATTACTCAGAGAGATTGGGAGCAGCATGATATTAGTGCTGTCCTAGAGTTTAAATAAAATTGCATTTAAAATAACTTTGGTAAAATGTGCCTGAGAACATTGCCAATGGATAAATTCTTCCAGACCTCCAGGGCTAGTCACACATCAGGAAACCAGGAAACTACCTTGCTGTACAAAGGCTCCGTAGACAATCCAGATGGCGCTGTTCAGAGTGGCAGAAGCCGATGACCGGGGCTGGGCAGCAGCACTCTGAGCCCTCACTGCCTGTATCCTGTTCAACACAAATATCAGCACACCAACCACAGGGATGGCAGCTGCAATGCAGGCCCACACGGCAAAATCAAATGGAGCAAAAAGAGAGAAGATGCTGATTTTCTCCTCAGGCTTCTTGATTAGAATCCCCACTGAATAGTCCATGTACCGCTTGCTGAAGTCCACAACACTCTCCCTCTCTGGAGTGATGGTAATGGCAGAGATGGCCAAGTCTGCTCTCTGAAAGGCAAAACCATCTCATCAGATGGCAGTCCTCAGCTTACTGCTGGGTTCCGCCCTGGGTCAGGGTCCACCCTCTGCCCTTTGAGTTGCTCTGTTCAAAGAAAATGGATTTGAGAGTTAAAACTCTGTGACTTTGAATATTGTAAGAAAAATCCAACACTAAGTTGTCTGTTATTATCTCAGGTACTTTACATATTTTTTCCCCCAATTCTGGAAACTCCTGGAAATCTCTTCTGGAGAAAAGAATCCAGTAAAACATCTTAATTCCTCTATGAATTGTGATTTTTTTTCAGTTTCTTATTATTTCCCCTACCAAACTTTAGCCATCTCCCTTCTTTTTCCTCTCCTTGCCACCCAGAAGGCCTTTCTATCTTCTTCTAGGCCAATCTGCATCCTCTGTATACATCGAGGCCACAGGCACACTCTATTTCTCCATCAAGCTTCACCTCTCTAGACTCCATTAGCCCACAATGATCTATTTTCTAAAATACTTTAGAAACTATATGATGAGTCATACAGCTATGGTGACCTTCATTAGCATATGGGTCACTGATTGTTGTATATGCAGAGTCTATCCCAGATAGCAAGATAATCCCAAATTAAAGGGGTCATCTACTTATTTCTATATTCCACCACCCTTAACTCACGGTCTGCAGACACATGGGTTAATTCTTCCTATAGTAAAGTCATGCCATAAAGAGTCTCTCTGAACAATACATACTGTGACCTCAAAACTACTTCTCCAAACGTTTACTTTCCAAAATGAGCTTTATTTTACAAACAAAGATCCCATTTAGATGGAACTAGATTGGAAGGATGAAGCTGTCTGGTTTTGTGGAGGTTAAGAGCTTCATGCCAAATGGATGGGTGGCAGGTAATAATGGGGCCTAGAGTCTTTTTTTAACCTCAAGAGTAGTGAAAGGTACAGTCATCATCCTGAGCTTGGTTCTTGGCTCTCCAAGTGGGAGGCGTCAGCAGACCCAAGTTTGTTTCAGAATGAACAATTGTGACAACTGATTCAACCTACGTACTCAAATTGGGGAAACACACATAGCAGGATTTTTGTTAGGTTTGGTATATGGGCTAGGGGAAGACATAATGGTGTCCTAAACTGAAATCCAACAACATATCCAGAGTAAAGAGAAAAAAAATATGTTGAAGGAGACCAGATAGAACTCTCCTCTTGTCTCATTTGCATCTCTGATACTGGTCTCTCTTCTCAAAAACTCAACAGCCAGGGATAATTTTTAGGGTTGGAAAAGTTTGGATCATATTTACAGGATGAGAAGGAGATTTAGTGGAGTAGGATAGGCTTAACATTTAATAGGGAGGGAACCTAATTTATGATACAAGGGCCAAAGGCAGAACAAAGAAATAGATTCATGACACAGGTGGGGGATCCACATGTGACAGTGGGAGAGACTCACAGTAGGGAGGAAAGGCAGGGAACACTTCCCTCTGGAGAAGGAGGCAGGTGACACTGCCCTCTGGAAGAGAGGGGCATGTGGCACATCTCTCCAGAGGGGTAGGCAGGTTCCGGCAGGTGTGAATTTTATCAAAAGTATAAGTAGAATTTCATGCCCAGAAGTCTCAATTTCTTCTCCAATATAGAAATGCAACCTTTTTTTGTTTTTCAGTTTAGAAGGATAGAAGATTATTAGGTAGCTTCAGGAGAAATAAACATTTTTTAAACAATCTCTGAGAGATATAGCCAAGGGTTCCAACAAAGGACAAGTTAAGAGATTCAGATTGTGCTGAAGGCCCAGCTGATGTTTGGAGGACCATACAGAGTTTCTACATCAATCTGGACAGAGTTCTGATTTTCTCCTCTAATTGTATGCAGCAACCTGTATTTCAGATTCAAGAGGGTAGATAATAGAATCAATTCAAGTTTAGGTGCAACAGGAAATCATGAACACATGGATTCACAAGGGATGAAGGGAACAGGGGGTTTGTCTGATCACTCACAGAGTAGGCAGGAAAGGACACAGTGCCAGAAAGGCAGAGAAACATAAGAGAAGGATGGACCTTAAATACATATGCTACATGGAAAGAACCAGACACAAAAGACTACATCTTGTATGACTCCATTTATACAAAATATTCACTTAAGTCACCCTATAGAGATATAAAGTAGATGAATGGTTGCCTAGGGCTGGAAGTGGGAATGGCATTAACTGTAAATGAGAATGAGAGATCTCAATGGAGTGATGGAAGTATTCTAAAACTAGATTATTATGATGATTGCACAATTCAATACATTTACTAGAAATCACTGAATTGTACATCCAAAATGGGTGAATTTTATAGTATATAAATTGTATCACAATAAAGTCGTTTTTTAAAGAAAATTAAGAGAATTTGAAGGAATGATGGGCCTAGTATCTTCCTTTATAGGTCTAAAAAGCAAAGGGCCTGTGTTTCAGGAGTAAAGGTTCAAAAGAGTCATAAGGACAGCAAATTGTGGTCATGGAATGGGCAAGTGCCAGTGACATGTAAGATGCTAACAAGATGCATGGGGTGAGTGCTGGAGTGGAGCCTTGGAATAAAGAGGTCAAAGCAATGGGAATCCAGGGTTGTCTGTAGGGATGTAAGAAATTGTCAAAATGATGGCAGCAGTAACACTGAAGAGGGAGAGCTTAAGGCAGATGCTACCATCATAAATGACTGTGAGTAAATGACCCAGTGGCCATGAGATGACAAGGACAAGGATGGAGACATGATGAGTTGACCCCATGCCGTATGTTTCAATGAAGATGCACAATCTATAGGAGGAAGAAAGCATAATGATATGAGTATGAGGTGCTGGGGAATGCCACACCATTGACACAAAGCAGTACATACATACACACTCATTCACACAAACACATGTGTGCACACACACTTTCTAGTCTATGAGAGGAGAATGATACTCAAAAATACCCCCAGTGGGAACTAAGTTTCCGATTCCACTCAAATGTAGGGGGGAGGAGGGTAGGTTTCTTGAAAGCTGTGTTACAGAGAAGGCACAATGGATAGGCTTCAAGGGAATGAGAGCAATAGACAGGGCAGGTATACCAAGTGCCAGGCCATGAGAAGACAAAAGAGCAGAAATGGGTATAGCAGGAAGTTTGAGAAAAGGAGAGCCTTAGTGTGTGAAGGAGGGTTATAGTGGTCCATTTAGCTGGTCCCAAAGTTCCAACTATTTAATGGGTCAAGTTTAGATATTATCCTAGAGGCAGATTAGGGTGCCTCTCCCCGTGGATCTGCTGTGGGGACCTACCTTGCTGATGAGCTCCCCGATCATCCCGTTCCAGGAGGTGTTATGGAGCTGGTGACCGTACCTGCCATCAGGGGCCTGGTAAATCTCATATTTGAAGCCCAGAGCCTTGGCCAGTGCATCCAGGACATCTATAGAGAACCCCTTGTAGCGCTTGGGCTGTCCAAGGATGTTCTCAGCCACCATCACAAAAGGCTCTTCCTGAGGACAACAGAATGAATGTTCTTTAATTAAATAACAGGTTCATTAACACATATTTCTAGCATATTGTCAGAGAGCAATCTGATGAATCATAACTTTAAAATATCTGTAGTTAACTAATTCAGAACTGGAGGCTGAACTTCTCTGTCCTTTCTAAAGGCAGTTTATGGACAGTCAAGGGATAGTACATAGGGCAATTAATCCAAACAGCAGGTCAATATGAAAGATTTACTTGTTCTGTGTTATATCATCCTGACTCTGCCCAAAATCCCAGCTCCCAGAATAACATGGTTTGTTTTCTTTCCTTCATTAATAATATCCATGCAGAACTAGTATTCAGTCTTTAGGAAATGCCATAAGTCTATGAAGAATTCTATAAGAAATATGACGTTTTAGCCGGGCTCGGTGGCTCAGCCTGTAATCCTGCGCCTTTGGGAGGCTGAGGTGAGTGGATTGCCTGAGCCCGTGGTTCGAGACCCGCCTGGGCGGCGAGACCTCATCTCTACAATAAATCAAAAAATCAGCCGGGCGTGGTAGTGCGTGCCTGTAATTCCGGCTACTTGGAAGGCTGAGGCGGAAAGATCGCCGGAGCTCAGCAGGTCGAGGCTGCGGTGGCCGGGAGCGGCCACTGCACTCCAGTCTGGGCGACAGAGTGAGACTCCAACTCAAAAAAAAAAAAAAAGAAATATGACATTTCTCATTAAGTATAATAAATGGCAATCAAGCTCTGTGACATTAGATTGAGAGAAGAAGTATTATATCTTTTGGGTTGTACTAGATAATGAATCCTGATTAATGGGCCAAAGCAATACCAAAAGTCAAAGGATAGGATAAGATTCAAACCAACAGTTCTTGGGTCCAAAACCATGCCATCCTCACACTCACACATGTTGTGTTGTGTCATATGTGGGCCAGGTGGCCATCTGGAAAACATCTTGGCCTTTCTCACCATTTCCTTTCCTTCTTGTGTGAAACTGAACAAGAGACCTTTTGTCAAATAACTCCAGAGAATATATTACTTTAATTTAATTTTGGTAAAAAATGGTGTAAAGCTTATTCATGGTATGTATATAGGAAATGCCAAAATGTTGCTGCCAAAGGTTTCTGAACCTGGAAGACACTACTGCCTGTTGGGACAGAGGGAACATTTGGACATGTCTGATCTAGCCAATAAGAAGCAAATCTACAATGTTTCCTACAGTTATAAAAATGTGAACAACAAAATGGAAAGAAAGATGTTTCTAAGGTCTCTTATAAATGTAGTAGTCGATGATTCCAGGACAACCATGAAGAAAAATTGCAACCACCAAATGTACTTCATTATGAACTTGTGTCATGTTGGCTCCTCACTGGTAGTTGGGTGCTGGAAGAATGAAGAATGTCCTCCTCCAACATTTTCCCTGAGCCACTGACTACCAGCTTAGTTCTCCTAAGGAGATCCAGTTTATATTCAAAAACAAGTGGAGCAGCTGGACCCCCTCTGGTGCTCATTGGAGACTTGGATGAGAAGTCCTTCTCAAGAGCAGCTCAGGGACCTCTCATGGAAGACCTCAGAGACCCTGGTGCAGAATCTTCAATCTTCCTCTCCTTTTCATACAATATTTGAAAGAAAGGCATTATGAAATCTCAAACAATTTCTCTAAATCTTCTCCCCAAACACAGCATTAAACAGAAAGCAGCCTCTGACTAAAGAGCATGGGCAGTGAAGCTCCCAGAATATCCCCAAGATCCTACCAAGACAGTCACCACTTTGAGAGTCAGTCCTTGGAGGCGGCTACCCATGGGCCTCTCTTGCAAACTGCCATTCAGGCCCTTCTCCGAGTCCCACGTTGCAAGCTGTGAAGGAAAAAAGGGATTGTGAGGGATAGATATGGCACCTGGGCTCACCTTAGGACCTTGTCTCTTAAACTGGGATCTTGAATCAGGCAGGGAGGTGGAGAGCAGCCCTCTGGGTTTCCCAGAAACCCAAAGCCATCTTAAAACCCTAAAGAAAATAGAGATGTGACAGACAAAAGTTCCACTTCCTCCCTCAATTCATCTAGATCTCTAGAACTCTCTATACCCTAAAATGAGACCAATTGGTAAGATCTTATCTATAGAACAAATGTATGTCAAATTTTATTGTCTTCCCATGGAGGACATATTATGTGTCTCCCACAAAATATCTTCTTTCTTTAATTACTCCTTTGACTTGCTCAGGCCATAGGTCCTTGAGTTCAGTCACTGGAGCATCCATGGGTAAGATGAGGCTTAGCAGTAATGAAAGTAACGAAGAACCAAGTGTACAGCTTGTCTTGCACCCTGGTGCCTAATGCCAGCAGGTTTGAGATCTTCTTGTCTGTTTTCATTATGGTGCAAGTTCTGTAATTTTCCTTGATAGGCAGGTAGAGGCTAATGGCAGAATAAATATGCCCTGGATCTGCTGTATTCTCCTAAGCCTGCAAGGTGTATCCAATAGCCAGATGCATCTCTGATAAACATCCCATGATAGTTAAGGAGATCCCACACTGGTTCCGAACCAATACAAAAGACACAATTGTTCTTGGTACAGCTTCCACTCCCTGCATCCCTGTAGAGTTTGTACAGTAATTAAGAAACTTTTGTCTGGTCAGTGATTCTTAACTATTAATTGGGAAGACATTAAAAAATGCAGCTACCCAGCCCCATCTCAAGCCAACTAAATCAGGACCTCGGGGCCTGGGCATGGGAAGAGTTAATGCTTCCCAAGTTATCCTGATATTGCAGCCAAGGTTGAGAACCCCTACTCTTTTGGGTCACTGGGCCTCTAACTTGACTGCATATTAGGAACTCATAAGAGAGCTTTAAAAATATACTGAAGGCTGGGCCCCTCTCCCAGAGATTCTTATTTAATTGGTCTGGAGTAGCCTAGAGATGAATATTTTAGCTCTCCAGGTGATTTTACTGCACAGCCAGAGTTGTGAACCATTGCTGTAGATTAAACTGTGATTCTTAAACTATGATATGCACAGAAACCACATGAGAATTTTTTGTGCACCTTTCTATTCTGGGGCCTGAGATTATTCATGTCTAATAAGCTCTGCGATGATGCTGCTGCTACTGTTCCATGGACCACCATTTAAACAGCAAGGAAGTGGTATGCAGTGGCTCATGCCTGTAATTCCAGCACTTTGGGAAGTGGAGGTGAGAGGATTACCTGAGCTCAGGGATTCAAGACCAGCATGAGCAACATGGTGGGACCTTATCTCTACAATAAATCAAAAAATCATCCAGGCATGGTGCACATGCCTGTGGTTCCAGCTACTTGGAAGGTTGAGGCAGAAGGATCACCTGAGCCCAGCAGGTTGAGGCTGCGGTGGTCCTGAGTGTGCCACTGCACGCTAGCCTGGGTGACAGAAGGAGACTCCAACTCAAATAAATAAATAAATAAATAGTAAAAGGTTAAAAGATCAAACTGTCACAGACATCATCTACTTTTTTGTCAGGAAAACCCATAAGACTCCTGGTTAACCTGAAGACAAGGACCCATTGTGGAGAGCCACCAATAGCTCTACTTAAGGATACTTTTACTCGCTCAGCATTTCCCATACTCCTGACATCTGTAGCAGGGTCTGCCCACTGAGTCCTGACTATAAGACCACAGTTCTAGGACCTGAGAGACCACCCCACCTGAAAGATACTACAACTCTGAGGCCTAAATAAAAAAACAGTATAAGATAATAGAGTTCTAGAGTAAGTTTTAAAGAAACCTGGGATCTCCTATCGTCATTTTGAACAGGTTGCCCACCAAGACCCACTCCATCCTAAATAATAGAATGTCTGGCAGTTATGAATGAATACTTTAGTTAAAAACATGGTCACATACCCTGAGGACTCCCCTACCCACCACCACTAATTAATTTGGAGGCATCATAGTGAAGAACAAGTGAAAATCGACCCAGAATTCTGCTCAAGGACCTCAAAGATACTAAAGACTCCACACTTTGGAAACTGATACAGTAAGAAGAAAATAACATGGCTATTGCTTCATCGGGTCTCAAGAAATAGCACAGGGTCACAATTGATTTTTGCAACTGAATTAAAATGCTGATCAAAGGGAAGAGGACAAACTCAGAAAAATGGAGTCAAGATGTTGATTGCCTGTGTTCTTTGGATGCTTCAACATGGACTCAGAAAGCAGAAATGGATGGATGTGTATCCGGGCTGTCTGCAACTGCTTCCCCAGAACTGCTCACACAGACATTGGAGCTGCTTAACCCTGATGTGTGTTCTGCCACTCCTCCTGCATATAGGTGGAATTACAAAGGTCCTCTTGACCATCTCAATGACTCATAGCATCATAATGAAGGCAATCTTGTCATAATGATGATGTTTCACTTCCTGAGATGGGATATTCTGAATTTCTAATATATGCTGCCAAATCCCTGTTGTCTGGTGTCAAAACCCTGTCTTCATAAGCTGTCTAGAAACTCTGGCTCTTGGGCTGAACGCTGTCTTGCTCATTCCCATCTTAGGATCTCTAACCTCGAGTCAAATACCATGTTCTCCTCTCCAATATCAGCTTCTATAAATGGTCCAGAATTGGGGAAGAGGATGGGAACTTGGAGGCTGGAATTAGCAGATGTTTATGAGTCAGTAGACCTAGGTTCTAGTCATCCTCTTTACTTATCTGAGTGACCTTAGACAACACTTGACAGCACAGTGCTTGAAATACATAAGGCAGTCAACAAATATTTGTTTAATAAAGTAAACTTCACTAAGATTCCATTTTCTTATCTGTGAAATAGAATAAAAATACCTTCCCTGCCTACCAAGCTGAAAGGCTGTTAAAAGGAGAAAATAATTTTGAAATAGACTTTTACAAAATAACTTAATTAAGAATAACAGAAGAATCAAGATATAAAACTATATACAACATGACCTTAGTTATGTTTTTTTAAGCAGTTGTAAAAATAGGAGAAGATACATTAAAATGTAGCACATGAATATATGTATTATATATAGGTGATGGAATTATAAATAATGCTTATTACCTTCTTTATGCTCTCCTTGTTTTTAACAGGTTTTTCACTACTTTAATAGGAAGTAAAATAAGCTTTTGATAAAAATAACTAGCATAGGTGATTAGGCAATTTGCTATCACATGCATTTGTATGACTGAAAACTGAATGTCAGGGGAACAAGTGGAGTCTAATTAACCGTCAGTATGTCAAGGCCAATATCAGAGTTAAAACCCAATAAATCAGTCCTCTGGCTCTAAGGAGCTTTGACCTAGCAGTTCCTCATCTCCTAGAAGAGGAGTATTGCTAGAACAGTATCCCATATTCTAAGATTTCAGCAAGATGGTGAGGGCTCCATAATCCAGCTGTGTTGCAAAACAGAAAGTGGCCACAGCTGAGGCCCAAATCCTTAAAGACAAGCAATCTTTCTCTACTAATAAAGAAGCACAGCACCAAACCATTTTGGTTAACATTCAGGCAATCTTAGTACAAGAAGGCCATTTAAATCAATGTGGAACTTCATGAGGAAAAAAAAATTTTTTTTTCTCAGCCTGATATCATGCTTATCTTTTTTGTCTAAAAGTGTTTAGTACTTAAAAGTTTTTTTTGTTTTGTTTTGCTTTAATACAGACTTCTCTCTTCCTGACCTTTAGGCATCCTATACCCTGACAAAAAGAGAAAAAGCACTTCAAAGAAAAACCAAAATTCTGCCTTTCAAACACATCAAAGTGCAACCGTGCTCCAGGATTCAGAAGACTTCGTGTTGGATCGGAAAGTTTATTATTCCCTTACATCAGGCTGAAGCCAAGCACTCCCTATTCCCACAAAGCTGTGTGCTCTTCCCCAAATCTTAAAACCAAAGTGGTAAACTTTTGCCATTTCTGGATGAGGTCATCCCTCTGAGAACTAATATATAAGACCAGAGAATAGAACACAGTGGTCCAAATGAAAGAATCCAGTTAACTTTTTTGAAAAGTAAAATGAATCCTTTAAATGTACTACCAGACTTGCAGCTGATCAAGGTTAGGAGAGATTGCATCGCACCTCCATCCTGAGGGTGCCCAGTGCTTCCTGCTCAGAACGTCATGGAAAATGTTTCAGTCAATAAAAGCCAAATGAGGCTGATAGGCTTGATAAATGGGAAGCCAGAAAAACCTCTTACCCAAATAAGACCCGACACTTAGTCATACAGCTCTAGACCATTTCATTTTTACAAGAGTGCATCTACTCTGACTTCCTCTCATATTTTGCAGACAGAATTTTGTTTATAGGATCGATGAATTTATGGCCACAGACACCCACTTCTGACAGCTGACCTGTCAAGATCAGTGCCTGAAAAACTAATTTCCAGCACTATTAAACAAAACAAGTACTGCCACTATTTGATAAGACAGCTATGGTTTTCATTCATTGCCGAGATCTGCTCTACCCAGACCAGAAACGTGCATGGAGCCAGAGGTTACAGCACAATCATCACTTGAAAGGAGATATATGATATCAAAATCTGATTATGACAAACAACTGTTCAAGAGATCAGTCAGTTGGAGAATATATTTCATAAACCACTGGTCTCAAGAAAATATATTTCCTGAGTCAATCGGGGTATTCTTGATGTTAGTGTTTCTGAGTTGTAAGACGTGAGGATTTGGGACTTTGTGGCCCTGTCCTTAATAAATAAATGCAGGGCTATTAACTCTAAATGGGACAGGCCTCCTTTAGAAGGTTGAGCTTTGTGATCTGCAATCTACTTACAGAGCAGTCTTAAAAGATCATCATCTTTTCATGGAGAGGGAGTATAGAAGGGGGGACAGTCCAATTGTTTTACAGCCCAGAGGCAGAATATGACCAATTTC